CTATATATATATATATATATATATATATATATATATATATATATATATAATTTTTTTATTTAATAATTTATATATATAGACTTCTTTAATCAATAACTTAAAAATTTTGCCTTTTTCGGCCGATTCTCGGGAGCTACGCCTTCTATCTCCCCCTTGTCGCGTGGCGGGCCTAAAAAGTGACGATTGTGCCTCTAAGCTTGGAGCCGCGACTGGCCGCGACCGTCGCTTGCTTGGTCCGCCGCGCGGCAAGGGAGAGATAAAAGGCATAGCTCCCGAGAATCTGCCGAAAAGGACAAAATGTGCCGAGGCCTGATCTAATGTATAAGTTTGATGGATATACTCGTACTCAACGACAGAGTTAAGGTTCAAAACACAGAATGTATACAGAATGTCTTTTGCTAAGTACTATAGATGCCATATACCTGTAGATTAGTCAATATAATAATAATGTCATCCTGAACAGAAAGTCCTGTACCATTTTGCAAACAATTACAAAAATGTTTTTATTAATAATTAAAGAAGCCTCTATATATGATTATCTTCTTTAATTATCCTATAAACACCGACTAATAGTAACATAACATCAATATTATAATTTCCCACTCAGTGTAATTGTTACATAACACACGCATTATATCGTATTTATATTGTTAAGTGGGAAATTATAACATATTAATGTTATATTATTGTTAGTTGATACTTATTGGGTAATAATTCCAAGTTTTACAAGGTTGCGTGATTACGAAATAGTACAAAATTTTCTTATTTAGAATGACTTATCTACAAGTATATTACACTTTGGACCCACACTTGGAACTCACACTTTTGAAATCAGATATTCTGTATATAAAAATTACAAAATAGTACAGTTTCTGATAATAAATTATTATTATTTTATTTTAGTACACACACAGTTTTTCCTTTTATAGATGTTTTTAAATTTTACACATTAATTTTATTCTATATCTTTTAGAAAATGTGCGTGACACGTACGTGCCGTACGTGCGTATATGTATATATGTGTATGTAATAATATAAATATTTAATATACAGAGTGGCCTACGTAAAGCGTTACAAGCTAATTCTCTAAACATATTTGTCCTATCAAAAAGTTGTTTATGAAAAAGTTTCATATATTCGAGGGGCCTTTCTAACTACGTAAACAAACAACCACTTCCGTCCCCATTGAAGAGGGGCGGAGGGTAACTTCAAAGTTTCAAAAGGAACTCCCTATATAATGTTACATATTTGGATTCTACAGAAAAAAACACAAGTAAACTTTGTCTGAAACATTTCTTTGGAAAATGTTTCTATCAAAAGTTATAAACATATAAACTTTTAGCCATTTTATTTACGATGAACTCTATTGACACAAAGTTGTGTTCGCAATATAACGAAAACGACCTTAGAGTACATACTTGATATTAACCAAAAGAAACATAAATACACACATTTATCGGGAAACAGATCTATGTATTTAGTTAGTTAGCTGGTTTTGATGCTATCAAGTTCGAATAATCATGACTAGTTTTGACGTGGAAGTTAATATCTTGTTAATTCTAGGAGAATGTGAGAAAAATTATCGACGTGCAGCGCAATTATTTGTAGAACGTTATAATATTCAAAAATCGCATATGGCATTTCTTCGTTTAGAAAATCGTTTACGTGTACATGGTCAGTTAAGTGCAATTAAAAGACGAAAAGCAAGACCATATTTAATTTATCATTAATTTCAATGCACTCTACATTAAAGTTTAAATGTTTATAACTTTTGATAGGAGCATTTTCCAAAGAAATATTTCAGACAAAGTTTACTTCTTTAAAGTTATTAGCTTGTAATACTTTACGTGGGCCACTCTGTATAAATATTCTGAATAATTTTTATTCAAACTTTAAAATATACAGCCATAGACATACACACACATACATATATTAGATTATGTTCCATGTTACAATCCAATTTGTGGCTATGAATATTTTAGAGTTTTAAAAAAATTATTCGGAGTATTTAATATATGTATCAAATATATTTTATTATCATACATATATGCACGTACACACATACAGCGCAACTAATCATATTAGGATAAATATAACCCATACTAACTGTATCGGTAAAATCGTCTCCCACACGGAAAAAAAGGTTTGATTAAATTAACCAAATATCTGGTCGAATATGAACGATCCAGAAATTCCGATTGAAGTAACTCGAATTCTGTTTAAGTCAACCAAAAATCTTGTTAACTTAAGCAGAATTCGGGTTACTTCAATCGGAATATCTGGATCGTTCATATTCGACCAGATATTTGGTTAATTCGACCAAACTTTTTTTTCCATGCACAATGTAAAAACAGGCGTGTTATCAGGTGTGTTAAAACAACACACAATTCACTAATTTGATGTGTTTATGCGTTTAAACAACACAGCTGCGGTTGTAAATATATTGAAACGACACACAAAGTATACTGATCTATACACGAATTCTGTGTTATAGTGGATAACACAGTGGACAACACACTTCATGTATGTTAAGACCATAATTCAGTAAATTGAATGCATATAATGTATGTAAATGTAATGCATGAATCGCAGAATAACAATAATTTGGAAAAAACAACATATTACTAGAGTTACACACTTACAGGAATTACACATAAAACCTCATATTATTCAAAAAGAATGAACAAGAAAATATGTGGATAATATTAATGATGTGATGAATGCAGTTATCACTGACAAATATTTTTGCATTAGGCTGCAGAAAACATTGGCTATTATACAGGTGATAAAATAGTATAATTTATTATTTATTATTGTATTATTATTATATTATTTTATTATTATTATACCATTTATTATTTATCATATTTTTAGTATCTAACCAGTTTATGTAATGTCTACGAAGTTATATGGGAAAAAAGTGACGTGAGCATGAAACGTCAAATAGCTCAGTGGCTCACTGCAGCACCCGGCAAGCGAAAGATCCAGGTTCGAGTCCTGGCATAGCTAGCAACAAACCGCGCTTTGGGTATTTTTCTCTCTCCGGAATGAAAAGAAGACGTAGGTCCCACCGCCACTGCATTTCCCATTGCTACCTTTAATACGTCCTAATACAACACATATATAAGTCGTACACATATTATATGCATTCAGCTAGCATAACACGAATCATGTCTATAGAATACATATTTGTGTGTTATATCTACACGTTTCTTGCAAATTTACACACTTTCTTCTGTATTGCATATTTATACACCTGCAGGCGTGTCAAAAGTGACTATAGGGATTACACACGTAAAATGTGTTAATGCAACACACTTCTTTTTACAGTGCAGATAGCGGACCAGTTATATATCCAACATTGGTGCGACGTTGGCATCAATGTTGATGTCAGTGCTGGTGTTAGTGTTTAACCAGTACGGCAAGGTGTTACACTCCTATATTGAATCTATACTGGCACAACACTGGCGGCCAGTACGGGTACAACGGCAATCGGTACTGTCCCAATGTTGGACCGCTTTAACATTTCTACGTGGGATATTTTCTTAACATGAGATTAACATTCTTAAAGAGATTAACATGTCTTTGTTTCTTTAATTTTAAATTACAAAGTCTAAACTTGCACAATTCTTCAATTTTTCACGAAAAATTAATAATTTTAGAAAAAATGTAAGGGAAAGAGAAATTGTGTAAAGGAAGTAATAACAATTAGAATCATATTTATAGATAGATCTTTGAACCGATTTAGATACGTGTACATACGTATATGTGAGTGTATGTGAGTGTGTGTGTGTGTGTGTGTGTGTGTGTGTGTGTGTGTGTGTGTGTGTGTGTGTGT